AGATCATGTAAGAAACAAGGGTGTGGCAACAAAAGTGAGATAAATGAAGAAATGCTGAGCAAGAGCAGACTTGAGAAGTTTGGGGAAAATAGCCAGAATGCCTGAAGATAACATGAGGAAAAAAAAGTTCAGACCTTGAGAGTCAGGAACAGAGCAAAGAGGGGAAGACCCCAAAAGATGTGCAGGTGTATGAAACAAGTTGTGTGTATATTTGATGTTTTAGAAAAGATGGCGATGGACAAAAGCTTGAGAATGAGAGCCACCTGGTAAGAACCAGTTTGAAAGAAGAACAGAAACTAGAGCAATCTTGCGTCATTTTCACACTTATTTTTCAGCATGCTTTTTATCTCATAGCTAAATTAATATCTGAACTACTCAAGTGTATCACTGCTACAAGTTTCTTTTCAGAAACTGACCAACCTCCTACACCATTTCATCTAGAGCGATGTCAAATTCATCTGGCCCCACAAGCTGGATGCTGGATGAGTGGTACAGAACTGGTCCACAGGCCGAACTGGGCCCATACAACCACCTCCCCACCACCCATATCAGATCTAGCGCATCTGGCACTCATTCAGCCACACAGCACCCACTCTGGGACCCATGCTGCACATGGTGCCTATTCCAGAGCAAGTGGGGGGAGTAGGCGCACCATGTATAGCACAGGTCCCAGAGTAAGTGCCACAGGTACATCACAGGCCCTGCATGTGGAGCCAGTCCAGCATGCACCACATGCTGTGTGGGTCCACTCTGGACCCCAGAGCAGCACCATGGGCCAGATCCAGCCTGTAGGCTATATCTTTGACACTCCTGATCTAGAACTGTCATGTCAGTTACAAATTAAATAACTGGTAAATAATCATTAACCTTGGTGGCAAAACTGATTCAATGGGATGAAAATTTCTCCTTAAAAACCAAATCTCACAAACTTGGCATGTGCTCCAATCATTCAAATATTATTAAATATTCCTCTAAGTACTTAAAGATAAGGATAGGCGTAAATTTTCAGGATTAGTATGAGTAAGGTAAAAATGTGCGGGACTACTACAAGTAATTTTTGTTTATTCCATAATACTAAAGCCAGGTTTTCAGTAATACAAATGTGTTTAAGCAGATCTGGAATTGTATACACAGGCTGCCTTGTAGAAAGATGTGACCTTTAACTTTGCTATCTATTCCACCCCAAAATTATTATAGTATTTTTGTGTATACACATCTAGTTTTTCTTTGCAACAGACTTTTAGTCCACAACTGTCTGATTCTCAATAGAAAGGGGGGAGCACAGGAATCTATCCTTGAAGTCAGCATCCTTTTTTAAAATAGGTTTTACTATGCAATGTACTAAGGATTGATGAAATTTAGATGGATTCATGGGATTCTGTTTTGAAATCATCCCTGATTTCTCATATCTGATCAACAGAAACAGTGGAGAAGAGAAAGGACAAAAGCTTGTTAAAATCACCCTCAGTTGCAGATGGGGATGGATCCAAGATTTGGCAAAGGAGGGTGTGAGAGCAGCCACCTGTGCTGCAGAAGTAGCATCCCTTCCTCTCACCCTCTTCCCCACAACCATCACTGGGCAGACTATGTAGCCAGAGTCTGGGGACATTTTAAAGTCCCCAAAGAATATAAGAATCCCCCCTCCATGTTCAAAGGCAAACCTCCTCCACTCCTACTCATCTGTGCTTTCTTTCACCTCTGTCCTGTGGGAGCGGGAAGTTTCAAAACTGTTCCTGCCTACTCCAGCCAGCTGGGAACAGTGGCAATGTGAGGGAGGGGGTCCTTCTCCCTGTGCCTGCTCTTGAGGGCTTAGGCAGGGTAGGGAAACCTACCCATCACTACTACTGCTGTCACTGTTCCCAGCCCACAGCCCAGCTGTGACACTAGCACAGCAAAGCACAGTAGCTTTGATGCTTCCCCCACCCCTCTCCCCCAACAGTGAGGAAAGCAGCAGGCATTTAAAAAGGTCCCCAGAAGCTACCAGGCGTGGTTCAGTCCAAAAGATGGGTGCAGCTAAGCCACTACACCAACTCTAAATCCACAGCCGGTTGCAAACAGCGTTGAATAATCTCAGATCCTACCTAATAATCCCTGCCCTGGGCTCCAAAGGAAAAAGAAACAAAATCCCAATGTCCCTGTATCTCAGGCATTGCAGACAGTTTTTTAGTCTCAAGCCTGTCCCTTGCACTCTGGGCAGGCTAACCCTTGTGATTCACCCTGGGAGAACTGTCCAGGGGAAGACCTGTTCATTGCACTCTGGGCAGGCTGACTCCTAAGAGTTTCCCTCAGTGTGGGAAACTCGACTGCATAATTATGTGGCAATGGTAGACTGCATTCACGCTTCTCCCATAGCTTGCTCCTTGGCCTTTTCACTAGGAGAAAGCAAGACTAGAGGGCATCCAAGGCCTCTGAGTTTCAGGGCTTGCAGGTAGGATACCTGCCATGGATTTGGGAAGTGTCTGAAGCCCAGGGCTGATGGGTCTGGGAGGAAGGATATTTAACCAGTGGTAGAACCACACACACAGATTTGAATGATTAACCTCTGCTCAGTTGAAATTTGGAACTTGACTGTTGGGCTTTGCCCACTAGAATTTGGAACTGATTTGGCCCTTGAAGTTACATTTTTTTAAAATCTGGCATCAAATTAATCTGCATTAGGTTATCAAGAATCAATGCTCTTAAAGCATCTAATGTAATTTATATTATGGCTTATACATGTTCAAGAAAGGACCTAATCATGTTCTGCAAGAGATACTTCAGCACAGATACAAAGTTTGCTCACTCTTAGTTTTCCATACGAGAGTGTGGTCTGCTTATATAGAAGATGATGTGGGAGAGGAAAAGTTCAGACTACCTCAGACAGAGTAAGCCCAGTACTAACTACAGAGAGAGAAAACATAAGACTCCCAGAACTAGCACAGCCAGGTTGAGGTAGCTGAGAGAGATCACCACCATCCTGGCCTTACATTTTTGTATAGTCCTTCCCACATCTACAAGCTCTAGGATTCTGAGGATGTCCCATTTAGGGACTGCTGTTCTGTCAGAAGTGACTGCTCCTCCCCAAGGAATCTGGAAGTTGTGCAGCACTGAAACTAGGGAAAG